CTTAGGCAGGCATAGCTGAGGACTGTGTAAGGCGTAAGAATGCTGTGGTATTCACAGTAAAAGCTTCATTGATTACGTGCTGCATAGTGAATAATGTGGCCGGAGTTTATTTTCTGAGGTGTGCAGGGAAGGCTCATTTAATTTTCAGTGCTCATCCCAACATGACTTTCCCAAAACTGTAAGTAAAGATTCAGAAAAATCTCAAAAAAAAGTATTAAGCAAATAAATGAAAGTGCTGGTCATGCTGTATAGACAGTCTTGCTGAAAGTAATCAGAAGTGCGAGCTCTGTGGTTCATTAGGGCGGCTGGTGATGTCCAGCAAGGTAGCGGGAGCTGGACAGAAGCATTATCGTCACTGTTGCGACCTCACTGAGGCCCTTGGTGATGACCTCACCGTAGCCCTCGGTGATGACCTCACCGTGGCCCTCGGTGATGACCTCACCGTGGCCCTTGGTCATGACCTAACTGCACTCATCATCATCAGTGCTGGGACCTCAGTGTGGCCTTCGTTGATGACCTCACTTTGCTCATCCTCCATTGGGACTGTGGTCGTACTTGAACTACACGTACCTGCATCAGTGATTTCTGCATTTCGTCCCTGTCTAGGCTCCATGTTTCCAAACACTATCACCCGGAGTGAGAAAAGCAAATTATAAACTCCCCTCTTGCAGGGCGGAAGAAAAATTAACACTACTGTCCGAGGATGGCTGGCATCCATTACTGCGCTGAACGGTGTGATAGATGCTGGCTCTTAATGGATTAAACTGAAGATCGTTCCAGCTCTGATGAGACGGCTAGCATGTGTTTCCAAAGGAAAATTCCATGAAACAAAGTTATATAGTGAAGATATATATATGTTTATTTTTTTTGCTAACTGCAGCCTGGCTCTTCCCTGCTTCTCATTAATGAAGGGCTTCTTCCTTGCTTTATAGGACTTCAGTCCTGCTTCTAGGAGCCTGATATGAACTGTCCTAGCAGTGCACGTCACACCTGCACTTAATGTTTCCCATTCCTTTTGAAGGTCACTTGATGTCATTCCTAGTGGTTCCTGTTTCACCTTATTCTTGTGTGCTGCTGTCTTAGAAATTTTTAACCTGGAAGCAACCTGCTGCTCAGTGTAGCCTCTGCCAGCAGAAGCACGATTTAATCAGGATTTAAAAATGTAGATTTGTTTAAAAATATAGTAAAAAAAAAATCTCTTAATTTTAGTTTTACATAAATCATTTCAAAGAAGTATATGGTTCTTCAGAAAGCAGTAAAGTGCACAGACGATGTTTGATAACCTTGAAAGGAAATTTCAAATTTAGAAACTTATTTCCTCTGTGGGAAATTACGGCCAAGCCTTCAATCTACCATGATTACAGAAAGGCCGACTGAAAATGAAACAAACTGCTCACACCATTAGCACTGGGTTCTGACAGAATGACAACGCCTCGGTCCTCCGTGACCCGAAAGAAAGTGGAAACGGGAGCTGGTGCAGAGCGTCCGCCTTATCGCCTGCTCGGGCGAGAAATCACACTCCTGTTCAGTTAAGCAGAAAAGAGACGTGGGCAGAGAGAAAACTGTTACTGTGGCGATGAATCACTGATCTGCGAGGTAGGCTTGGTTTCAGATGAGATGAAATGTAATATGTAACATCAGTAATATCTTCTCGAGCCTCGGACCCCTGAGGATTCATGGCCCTTGCAGAATTGGGCAGTTTGGGGCCCATAGTTGGCTTCTGTGTTAAACTTCTACATTTATCTCATCTAATAGAAAAGAGGGGAGATATCCACAGTCAGTGTCTATATGTAACAGGATGGCTCAGTGCTCAAAGCTGCTAGAGGCCTATACAGATCTCACCAAGTCAGGTGTCCCTAATCCTACAATAAAGCTTATAATGTCTGTTGTTGTCCTCCATAATCTGCTCCGTTGTAATATACAATATAAAATAATACAGATATGTATCCACTGAACCTTCTCAACATCCACAACCTGAACTGAAATCCCTGTTTTTTAGGAATGGAAGGAGAGAGCCAATGGGAGCCAAGCTCAAAGGATTTAAGGGGAGGGTGTCTGCTAGTCAATACTAGGCTTCAGTGCAGCATAACCAGCCTACTGGTGCCCTGGCTACACCAGGTAGCTTATTGAAACCGATCCCCTTTGGGCAGACAGTCCACGTTTTTGCTCCCTCCAAGCTCCATTCCAGACAGTTAACATTTTTGCTCCCGGTAGGGAGCAAAAACGTGGATGTGTGTGGGTCCCCCTTCCCTGAGGACTTGTAAGCTTTACAGTGCTTTACAGAGGAGGCAAACTGAAATCCCATTTATGTCAGCCTTTGCTTACTCATTCTATGCGATTAAAGGAGACAAAGGCTCGTCCTTGTTAAGTGGAGGGTCCAGGATTCAGTATCCAGAAGTGCTCCCCTCTTCCTGTTTTTAATATGCCTGGGAATCATTAATTATTTTATATATCTGCTGCCGGGCCTCTGTCTGAAACAGCTAGTAATTAGAATGCTTGGCTTTTCCGCTACTCAGATGGCACCGCCCACATGCCATGCCGCTGATACGTCTGCTGAGGGGGCCTTGAAATATACCCCCCCCCCAATTCCTCGTCTTTTTCCTGAAACAGGTTTACGTCACTGTAGCCTTATCAAACGTTTTTTTTTTTTTTTGAGTCTTGCTGTGACTCCAGGAATAGTCGGTCTTCTTCTCATTCTCATGCCGGCCCTAAAGTTTAAAGCGTTGCACATAAATTTCAGTTTCAGATTCTTTAATGTGCATTCAGCTTTCACGGGCGTCCTTTGCTGATGGAATCAAAGAAAATGTCTGTACTATGGAGTTCAAATGTAACAAGGGAAGAACAGAGATTACGATGTGTCCCAAATTCACAAAATGGAAAATAAACAGGATTCAAGTCTAGTCTGAAGTTCACTGTTCTTTGTGAATCAGTCAGTGTTCCCTGCTGCTCCCCTTGTGTATAACCCAAAACAGCTACTTGGACTCTGATAGCAGCTGTTGAATTAAAGAAGTTAAACCAATAAAGTGTTTTAAAATCAAACTGGCTTTGAAATGAATTTTCACTCCACGCCTTGTAATGTGGGTCTAGTCATCCTTGAATTGTGAGGGCAAGCAGAAGCTGTCTGCTGTGCATTCTGATTGGCTGCCGTGCCACTCTACATCATGAGACCCCCTAATTCTCTTAGCCAATGTTTCCCAACCCACAGACAGTCCACATTTTTGCTCCCTCCCAGTTCCCTGGCAGACAGTCCACATTTTTGCTCCCTCCCAGTTCCCTGGTAGACAGTACACATTTTTGCTCCCTCCCAGTTCCCTGGTAGACAGTACACATTTTTTTGCTCCCTCCTACCGGGAGCTGGGAGGGAGTAAAAACGTGGACCAGTCCCCAAGGACCGGACTGAGAAACACTGCTCTTAGCCAACGTTCCTTGGCTGGCATATGTCAAAGCCATTAGCGACTAGCAGAGACTGGGGTTCAGCTTTGCCCACCCTGAATTGTTCCATATTGTTAGGGGCCATACCTGAAAATATCCAGCTGTATGATGACTGATGGTTCAAGCCCTGAGGGGGGCCCTGGAGTTGTCCTCTTGAGCGACATACTGCTTGAATTTTAAGCATTTAACCTAAATGGCTCCGACATGTTTGGGTGCCAAAATTGGTAAAACTTGAAGTCCCTTGGGACAACTGCATAGGCTGAGCTACTGAATCCCAATAATTACTCCCTACAAATACTACAATCTGATCCTTCTCAAGAAAGCTCAACATGACGATGTTGGGTGGGCTCATCGGGCTGGTAGTGGGTGACGGAGACTTACCACCATCCACATCGTCGCTGCCAAAGTGATTTCTGTAGAAAAGCATGAGCTCGATCCTGTAGCACTTGTAGAGGGTCACCAAGCAGACGAGCAGCAGGAAGATGGCACCCAGCCCCCCAGCCAACTCCACCGTGTACATAAGCTCTGCTGAGAGACATAGGATGATAGGGGGTTTCAAATGTATTCAGGTGCTCCACATACCCAGATGCAGACATACTAAAGGCCACACTGGGAGGAGACTGCACTAGCAGAGATTACAGAGAAACGATTACTTCTGTCTTGATTTTGTGTTGCATTTTCACAAGGTGCAGTGAGACTGTTCTTTGGAGGCTTATTCAACAGCTGCTGCAGTGTGACACTGATCTGTCTGTCAGGGGAGATGATGAGGGGGGTGCATTCTTTTAAATAAACGTATGGGAGGTGAGGAGGGGGTCACTGCAGAATCTGTACCCTCCACTAGTCATGGAGCTCCCTTCCAAGGGGGTGAGGGGTCAAACCATCAAGCCTGCGATCATCCATAGGATCTCTTCACGTTCTTACTGACATGGAAGGTGAGTGATCAGTGATCTAAAAGCTGTAACACTACAACCAACATGTTCATGTCAGCTACAGACCATGAGTCACGGCGTCAAGTCACTCAAGGTTCCCGTACGCAAGTTAAGGAAATAAATATAGTCATTTCTGTCCAATAAATCAGGCGATGCAGCAGGTTAGCGCTATCAAAAGAAGCCAATAAGAGACAAGTTCAGACCAGCTGACAAAGGACTCCATTGGTGTTGTTCTGTTAGGAAAAACTACTTGCACAGCACCTGCTCCATCCCTGCTCTTCCCGTTGGAAGACCACCCATGAACTTCCTTGCTACCTTCTGAAGAGTCTAGACCCTACCCTGATGGATGGACTTTTCCTCCATGCCCTGCCTGTGGCTTCCCTTCCTTCGTACTCATAGGTGTCTTCACTTCACAAGGTTCACATTCTCATCCAATGAGTTTGTCCACTTTTGTAAAATCACACCAATAAGCTACATTCCTCCCCACGTGGCACCTAATTGCGATTAACGCTGGGAGATTAAGACAAATTATCTTCTGCTTTTGGAGAGGAGGCCTCACTTATGTGCCAATATACTGTATCTGACAGAGCTGCTTGCCTGTTTGCGATTCATCATTTTCTTCCTTCTCCTCCTAACCAGAGCTGGCTTCATGTCTGGAGATGCCAATGCTACAGTATCTGTCAGCGTTGGCATTTTGATTCGGGAGACGTGCTGAAAGCTGGCTCACCCGCCCGCTTCAGGCTGGTTCTCGCCACCGGCACCACCACACATTCGGGGCTGGAAGGTGATGATGGATCGGAGGAGCCATCGATATGCTGATGGAACGAATGCAGCCTAATTTGTCTGCCTGATGGGAGCAACCCGAGTGATCTCAATGAGGCAGAAGAGGCCACCTTGTGTTGACAATCTTTCAAGCTGTGCTTGGCTCCAGGTTTGACTATTTACACTGGCATGTGCCCATGGCCCATAGGTCGGTCTGCATATTTATTGATGCATTATGTGCTCCTCTATGAGAAAATCAACATTTTGTGCCCTATTGTGAGGAATTATTATTGACTGGTATAAAATGATGTCTCCCTTGTTTTTGATTTGATGAATAATCCAGTATGACAGATCTTCCCGACGGCACTAATTCATTTACTCCATTTGCAAAGAATGGAAAATTTCATTGCGTCTTATGGAGAATATCGCACCTGATTCGTCTGCTTCAGGTAACCTGAGGGATTAAGAAAGGATGAACAGGGCAGTGTCTGTGTCCCATGCCGCTGGCCAGGCCTTGGCAGAGCGGACAGCAATGAAAACACGGCCCATTAAACCGCCCGTCTGGGGTATCGTCTCCTCCATGGTTCACTCTGGCCAAGCTATAATTTCCGCTGTGTTTTGTGCAGCTGCTGCTACAATTTACCAGAGTAAATTATTATCACCTTGTGGAACCAAAATTCAGCAGTATTTAAAAAAACAGAGCTTCCGCTGGACCTTGCCATTGAAGTCAGCCATGCAGTACAACCCCAGTCTGCTTGTCATTATGCATGGGAACCTCATTAATAACTTATTGGGGGTGTGGCAAGGGGTGGGGGGGGGATGGTGATGGGTCCAGAATATGCAATAAAGAAAACAATTACTCCAATGCAGGCAGCCCCCCCAGACAGCTTACATCAGAGAACACGGATGTGGGAAATGTACAATGAGACCTTGGCTTTGGTTGGTGACGCTAATTAGCACGTTAGCGTACCGAAGCCGTTCAGGATGGCCTGTCTTTACGTGTGAATGTTGGATGGGCTGATGAACCGCAAGACTCTCCATGCTCTTGGGCTGCCTTCTCGGCTCCCTCGAGTGAGAGGACAGGTGTCCTGGCTTAGGTACGCCACTAACGTTCCAGCTACTTACCTCATAGGGAACGGCCAGTGTCCCATGCCTCGCAAGCATGAATTATTCTGAGAACTAAACCGTAAATGTGCCTTATTGCTTCAACTGGACCAGGTGCCGTTCTCAGTCACTGTCGTGGAGATCCGGAGCATCTCACTAACGCTGCAGAGGGCGATGGTGTTGCATGGAATGCCGTTCGTGTCTGGGGTCCATGTACAGCTTGTTAAAACCAATAATGACATGGATGAGTCAATAAAGAAATTAACTGAAAACGTATATTAATGTGTTTTCCATTCAGACTGCAATGTTTTTAAATCTCGTTGGAATAAATGTTCGACTGATTTTCGTGTCTTCGTCTCTTATTTATAGCATGATCTAACATCAAACACATGGGGTTTCAATCATTAGATCTGTTTTCTTTATTTTTCTGAGTTGGCTCTAGATAAAGTCTGCATATCTGCATAACTTGATGCCCCCAAATCACAAGGATGTAGCACCTGATTTTGCCCCCCCCCCAAATCCCTGCCAAGAAAATTAGGGTTCGGTAAAATATATAATGTATTTTAATATATTTAATGATTAGGTCGGTTGGTATGCATCTAAAGTTTAATCAGTTGACAGTCACTAAGTGAAGTTGCTTTGAAACATATATCGTGCTATATGAGGACTCATCATGTAAGTGGAACCAAAATCAAATATTTCCGAGTCTTTGGGAGGGGGGTTAGTCAGGTTCACTATTACCTGCGGTTTGACGCCTCTGCCGAATCATAAATTCCAGTGGCATTTAAAGGAACTCACCACAAGATATTCCAGTTCCCCTTCTCTGCCAGTTTATTACACAACAACGTGATGCGCGTGTCTGTTTCTGGCCATGTTTTCAGCTGCATCCTTATCTTTTAAAAAGGGAGCACACAGGTATTTATAAACGCCACTCAAAAATAATATCACGAGACTCATTTGTAAATGTGATTTCTGGAATGTGCCAGGAGGTTCAGAGCGAGAGCTGCGCGGGCATGGCTGCGGACAACAGGCACGTCGATAAGATGGGACCGCGTCGTGTAAGAGAACAGCAGACGTTACGTAAACACTCAGCTCAAAGCAGCGTCACGCTGGGCACTGGGGCGGCCCGAACACGGAGCAATTCAAGCCCAATGCGTTTCTCCTTCCTGAAGGAATAGCTTGCCGGCCTCCCCCCCAAAATCCCTCCATTAGCGACGAGAGAGCAGAGCAATGTCTGACTCACCCCTAACATCCTGTTGTCATCCTGGAAATGTGTAATCTTGGATGAAGAGTCAGTTTTCCTGTGATTAGCCCACCTCCCTACTCCCAAGGTAGATTGACAGATATGTGAACAAACTATAAGGTTTAATGTTATGGGGTTAAATCGATGTTGTCTGCCTTTTTTTTAAAAAAAACAAAAAAAACAAAAAAAAGAATAAAGAATGGAGCTGAAAAGCAATTTAATTGTGGCTGTTCTGCTCGTAAGCTTGGGGAAGGAAAACAAACCGTCTCTTTTTCATGAAGCTGCAACACGGCCCCAATTGCGCATAACTCATCAATATTGCATTGTAAATCCGTAAAATAAACATCACTAATATATGACGATCTCCATGGTTGAACGGGGGGTGGCTTTTGAAAAGCTTCAATTCAGGAGGCCAACAGAATCTCTATGTTTTTTTTCTCAAAGATATTTTACACAGCATAAATCTCTTCATAAACTAAATGACATGGAACTAGGGTGCCTTCAAAGCTATCTCAAAAACTGTAAGTTTAAAAGCCAAGAGACTTACTATGCAAATATATTCACAACTTGACAACTTTTGGGAACCGGGAAAAAGTCCTTACACAACCACCAAATCATTTCTGTGAGCTAATTAACGATCATCACAAAACACTGACAGAAATAAACAAGAGCAATGTCCAGAAACATAAACCCATAAATGTTTACCAAACACTGGCATAATAAACAGCACAACTATGCTGAATTCACACTCATATGGAAGTACTGAACGGCAGAGTACATTAAGGAGGCAGTGGTGTTTGATAGGATGATACTACATTTTATCACATTTAAGAGGTTCAGTGAAAGGAAACGTCAATGTTGTTTTGGTAACATTTAGCAATGTAGCCGTTCCCCAGTGACGCGCAGAAGCTGAACTCTCAAAATGGTGATTTTGCAGGCAGCAGATGTTTCTGTGCCTTGACAGACCTTGTGTTAACAACAATGCCTCACTTGCCTCACACGCCGGGACTGTAAACAGCACACAATCTCCTGAAAGGCTAAACGCAGCGTGAAGCATTTTAACGTGAAGGAAGCTACATGACAGCTAACGTACCGGACACTCCCCAGCGCAGTCAGTCCACTGGGTAGCTGCCTGTGAATTAGCAGACTGTCTATTATCATGTGGTCCCTGAGGAATATTTAGTACTAATGCTGCCTAGTAAACAATCTAATTTCCTCTGACATGTTCATTTGAGCACACGGCTATGCCCTGGGTGGAATTTGCATGTTCTCCCCGTGTTCCTGTGCATTTCCACACTCCCTTCCCAACATTCACGTCAAGTGATTCGGTGACTGTAAATCGGAGTGAAGATGAGATGTCTTTGGATAAGCGGCTTGTAAAGATGGATGGTTGGCTGGAATATAATGTATCAGGGCTCCTCTCCTCACAGCCCTACCTCTGCCTCCATCAATCTAATGCGGAATATATCCAGATCCATTCGGGCTTTTCTTTTTACGCTGGAGGACTAACTGTTGGAGCATTATCTCGAATTCCGTCGGCAGACTGCCAAGCTGTGAGACAGACCGCTTTAGCAGTCACCTTGGGTGAAAGCACTGCTTCAGAAGATAAATGAAGGTAATTATATCAATCAGAGGTGATATAATATTTATATTAAATCAAGGGTGCGTGTTTAAGCAACTGAAAACGCATCATCTTCTGATTACACAGGGCTACATGCTAAAATGTCAGGCCAGCGAGAGGGTGGGGGCACCTTTGGGGCTATTGCTTGGGAATCCTCAGACATGTCCATTTATGCAGTAGTGTGACAGTGCAGGGGACTGAATAGCAGTGCTTATCACTGTAGGTCTACGTCAGAGGGCGGAGCTTCACCATGCCACCCCACAGGCACGCGGCCAAACATCAGGCTCAGCCATGTAAGGTTAAGCCCCGCCCACAGCCTCATAGTCCCACAGCCGGCAGCCCTCAGTGCCGCCGTACCACACTGGCCTTGGGTCTGGCCCTCAGGTCACTGGGGCTCCACTTTAATGCTGCCCTGGTCACACTGCCAGTGCCTGTCCTTAGTCTGATGAAACAGACTCCGATTCATAAACACATTAACACCTTTCATCGCTCTTTTCCATCGACCTTTAAGTGCTACAGTATTTCTTGTATTTACAGTATTATAGCATTTCTGGTATTTTTAGTATTATTGTATTATAACATTTACATTTGCAGTATTTTCTTGCACATTCCCTTGCACTTGCAGTACCACTGCATCCACTGGCAAATACTGTGCCATTAAATAGTTACTCTGTAGTGATTAGTATTCTTACTACCTTACCTTTCATCATTATTATCCCTAATCATTTTCACTATTGGCAGTTTGGTCAGTCTTATTATTCTTTATTCTTCTTTCTATCGCCTATCCTCGGGCTGCGGAGACTTCCCGGAGTGGCTTTGGCTTAGTGTCTGAACATTAAAAGGTTGTGGCTCCAAGGTTCGACTGACATCCCTGTGTGGTTGTGTGAGATATCAGATATCCAAATGTGCTCCCGATGTCCTCTGCGAGTGTCACAATCATCAGGGCTTGTATTTCCACTGTGGAAGTCCAGGAGCAAAGCGCGTGAAGAGGTGTGTGATACCATCTCTGTCTGGCGTGATCCTCTGTGTGGCACCATGCAGACAGACATCAGCCAGGCACCAGTGGAAAGCAAACATTTTTAGCTGTGAGGTGCGACCAAAACAAAACAAACATGGCAGGGTACGGATTAGGACACTGGGCTGCCTGCAGGGCGTGGGGAGAGTGGGCCCTTACCTCGTTTGCTGAGCTGGATGCTGGCCTGCCTTCTGCCGTTGCCATTCTCCACATAGCAGGAGTAATTACCCAGGTCGGCCTCCTCCACGGAATCGATGGTCAAGGAGATCGACACCTCCAGCTCCCCCAGATGCTCTCGGATGATTCTGTGGGGCCGATGTAAATTCTCAATGAGAGTCCGGGCCATTTTTGTTATTTGCCAGATTTCACCTTGTTTGTAATGATGCTATTACTCAAGAGAAAGAAAAGAGAGGGAATCCAGACCTCTGACTTGGGACGACTTGGCTACGAACTGAAGACATGGAATTCTGGTAATGGCATAAACCCACAGGCCGCGTGCAAGCGACCTTTTTGCCACGGCGGCTGAGAGAGGCTGGAGCCTCCGACTGGCAAATACAGACTGGCAAAGTCAGTTTATGCTAATGAGTCTGGGATTTCGAATGCACGGAAATTCAATAACAGAGGCTTCCTTTGCTATCACTGTAGGGAGGAAAACCAAATAATAAAGAAAAATACAATTTTTTATAACCGCTGCCATAGAAACCACGAAATGGTGGGAAATGATGTTCCATATATTAGATAAATCTCTCCTGCAGGGGACATACTGAACAGACACAGTGCAAAAAGAAAGAATGTCCCCCTTTCTTTACATTTGCCAGTATCGATGTTGTTGTGCTTGCTTTACGATACCCTGGCTCATAATAAAAGCAGCATTAAAGTTTAAAAGGGTTTATTTTATTAGGTTATTCCTTTGCCCAAGGGCTGAAATGCAATTCATAACCATCACTAGTGACCTTTCGCCTCTGTGCTGTAATGAGACATCAGGGCTTTGTGTCGCTGGAGGAAACAGAGAAGAAATCGGAATCGCTGCTCTTACAGTGTCAGAAAAATGGGAGAACATGCTGTAAGATGGGGGTGTGACATCCAGGGGCAGAGCGAGGACAAGCGTGTTCATTCGCTTCACCTGTACTGCATGACAGATAGTATAATTTCAGTTTGTTTTCTGCAAAGCTCCAGACCATGTACCCAAACCACGCAGCCAGATTCCAGCCCTGCCCTCCGGCCCTCCCCAAACCTGACGTCCCCTTGCACTGAATTTGAAGCAGCTGCTTTTTTGTTTTTCATCTTAATCCCTCCCTGGCTATCTGTTGAACCCGTCTCCCTCCTGCACTCAGAAGAAATCCCTCTTCCTCCCTCGCATCTCCGCGTTACGGTATTCTGTTCTTCGTCTTAAGCAGCGTGATTCCCACACATCCCATAAAGCCACAAGTGATTTCCGTGAAACACAAAATGAACATAAAAAG